ATGTAATGCTGATAATGGTGTTTAATAGTAGACAAAAGAACTTGATGAAAGAATAAAAGAGAACTACTGTAACACATGAGAAATATAGATGTACATAGTTTAAATGGCTACACATAATCCTGAATTCTCAACATATATTTATTCCCTGTGAAGAGCTTTTCCGTTCTAAGCTCGCTCTTTCAAGACTGTTTCTATCTGTTCAATCAAATTCAAATGTTTCATTACTAACTCTTTGATCAATTTCTATTTTACATTGTCATAGCAGGAAAGGGGGTGAAGCTATATCATTTATGTGTGCCAGTAAAGATGGAAATGCTTAATGCATGAGTTGCTGAGATGTGTGTCAGAACTCTTTTTGTTCCAAATAGAGAAAAAGAGAGGATGTCTAGATCTTCCTCAAAGCATCCTGCCATGACAGATCCACACTGGTGTTCCTCTTTACAAATATTTTTCAAAATACGAACAGTGTAGGATACAAGATATTATAGGAACCCATCAAAAGAGACCAGTGCTGCAGGTTAAAATGACTTAAAGTAGAGCTATTTTGCTGTCATAATATGTCCATTTTAACGTAAACTGACTGCAGTTCATGTATGTAGACACTGTTCAGCTATATTATCGTGTTGGAAAATGATTAGTATAAAAAGATATTCAACATTAAGAACAGAGATTAAAAGATTCCGTTAGGGGTTCTTTTCTGGAAAACTTAAACATAATGTTGATCTTTTCTGCCCATGTTACCCTCAGTGATGTATGTGTACTATTGTGTGTGCTGGTTGACTTTTCATGGTAGTGGTATATATATTTAAACATTTGATTAAATTCCTGTAAAATGGTGTTTATACCATGATCATCCATCAGAACACTAACATCTTTAATGTTGTCCCTGGTTAGGAAAGTTTTTCAATTAATTATGAAAGTGTTCTGTGTTGTTCCACAAGATGGAGCCATATGGAGTGTGGGTACATGTCATCCTCCAATGGCGGCACTTTTGTTAATGAAATTTTAGGTTAATGGCATTTCTTTTTTCTTTCTTTCTTTCTTTTTTTTTTTTTAATCTTAACCAAAATCCATCTCTTTAACTTTTGCTAAAAGTAAAACCGGTGGATGGATGATTTTTCAGAGCTCTGCATGTGATGGCAGATCTAGTAACACCAGTCATACACATTACACATGCTTGTATTGGGTGTAGTTCTTAGTTCACACTTAATATGTTAATTTTATTATGTTTCATTTCAACCTTTTGCACTTTAAGGCACTATTTCAAACTGAAGTATGAACAGATGAGGAAGTGAAGACAGATCACTTCTTTGAAGACACATGAGCAGTTTGATGTAGTTCCAGTAAAGTGACACTGCAAAGACCACAGCCTGTAAAATGCACATCACATGATGAGAGTTTTCCATTCTCCAGTGTATCAACTCCAAACAAACCTGAACCACCTCACCCCAAAGATCAACTAAAATACACATGTTGCGTCTTTAGCTTGAAATGTCACAGTATTGCACAATCTCTCTCATGCGGTGTTGTAAATAGCTCTACTCTTCTCCTTTTACTCCGACCCTGTGATGGAGATCAGTGCAGCATGACAAGGAAAATGAGACTTGACTCAAAAATAATATGTTTTTTTTTAAATAATGCATTTATGTTGTATAGCGCTTTTCAAGATACTCAAAGTGGCTTAACAGGGTATAAGATAAAAACAGGAACAGAACTTGTTTAAATAAACTGCAATTTCAGACATTATAATAGGAGATTAAAATACAGAGGCTTTAAATTTATTGTGAATTTAAACCTTTTTTGGCAAAAATAAAAAGAAGAAGTATTATTTAAGTCTTGAAAAAAAAAAACATCTGAACACTGAAGGAGACTTCTGAAGAGAATGTAACTGCCATGCATGTTAATGCAAACTGATATTTTTCAAGGACTTGATCACAATGAAAACACAATGCGATGCAATCTTACTATATTGGCTTGGTTCTGAAGTTTATAAATGTAGTGGAAGTGAATGGGGGCTTTAAAATGTATTTTGGTTTGTTATATGTATTGCTGAGTAGTACATAATATGGAGGGTTTCGAGACTGGAATCGTGTTTGTTTACTAAATAATAGCAGAGATACATAAAAAAAAAAACAATATTGATATTAGACAGATAAAGCTAACATATTAAATTTCACATTTAACAAATAGCTGTTTAGAATCCACCAGTTACAGTGCGGAAGAGCATAGTTCAGTGAACACATTCTAGATTTAAATAGTCGGAGGTTTTATATGTGGTCATATATGGGTGCACACACACAAATGCTTTCCATACAGTCAGGCAACCTGTCAGAGCTGAGATGACAATTGTAATGCTTGCGCACAACCCCAAAGGTCACTAATGGCAGTATCACTAGTGTTCATTTTTAGTAGGGTTAGAGTGTTTAGCTCAGTGATGTTTGCAACTAGGTATGAGTATTTGATTCCCTTATAAGAAATATTTACAGGTCAAAGAACACAGGTTAAAAATTCCCCTTTAATGGATTTAAAGACACAAAAACACATCTGAGAACACCAAGTATGTAAGAGACGAGTGTGATCACACTACTAATACAAATTGATCTCACTTTTGAAAAGTGTCTCAATCTTGAGGTCTAAGACTGCAATTGGTTTTTAACAACGTTGTCACCTCTCCTTCTGCAGAGGTGTCTGAATACATGTTATATTTACCTAAATATAACAGGTGGCCTGCAGCAACACAGACAGGACGTTTATGAGTGTGAAGCACGCCAACGCCGATGGGCACTTCCTGAGTG